ATTGAGATCACAATGGGTCCACAATGGAACCAGCATGGGACCACAATTGAATGGGACCACATTGAGATCACAATGGGACAACAATGGAACCACCATGGGACCACAATTGAATGGGACCACATTGAGACCACAATGGGACCAAAGGCAAACCAGTGAAAGCGCAAACATGACCCTGGTTGAATTGCAACACGAGTACAACGGGACTGCTAAGACTAACAGGACAACAATGGCACCACAATGCAATGGGACCATAATGCAATGGGACCACAGAAAAGGGATCAGAATGGAACAACAATGGGACCAAAGTAGGATCACAATGGGACCAAAACAAATGGGACCAAACACGAAGTACATGGGACCACAAAATGGGACCACTACGAAGTGGCAGTACGTACAAACCTGTTGGACAGGCCATCGCCGGAGTTGTGTCCGGTCTTTGCAGTGTCTCCAGCACTTCCCGGCGGGACGAGACTCAAGTTGCTCTTACAACCTTTCAACGCCGTTCCAGAAGGAAGACTCGACCCATTGCCTTCTGCTGTCTTTGCTTCTCCATTTGAACCTGCCGGCACCTAACACAAAAAAAAAAAAAAAAAAAAAAAAAAAAAAAAAAAAAAAAAAAAAACACGCCAGATAAAGCAGATCCAATCGGATGGTGTTTTTTTTTTTTTTTTTTTCCACCAGACAATGTTGATGTAAAGCTAAGGGCACTGGGCCCTGATTAAGTGAGTGAGAATTACATGGTTTTTTCCACCAATCAATAAAGCTCTCCTAGTGATGGGAATGGTTTTTCCAACCAAAAAAGAAGAAAAAAAAGAAAAAAAAAAAGGGTTTTATCCTGAGTGAGGACGCCGCACGGCCGGTTGGGCCCAGGGGGGCCGCCTGGGTAAGCCGGGCGGGCCAAAACACTGCCTAGAAATATATATATATACAGGGTCACCAGCCCGTACGTACGGAGGTCTGCCCGGGGACCTCCGTACGTACGGGCGTTCGGGGTCCCGTATGGGGTCCGAACCCGACCGCGTTCGGCCCCCGCCAAAAATTATTTCGGGGCCTAAAAATAATTATTTTTTTCTGAATTTGTTTTTGTGAGTTCTCTATGACGTGAGGTACATGCCTGTAAATTTTCAAGTCATTTGGCTAAGCCAAACAAGAATTATAAATCGCCAAAGATGGCGGTGTCAAAACGTGCTCGCCCACGTATTTTTTCACTTTTAACTTTTTGTTTTCACTTAAGTTCGGGGTCTAAACTATTTTATTATTTTTTTTTTACTTTTTAAGTGGGTTTTGTATTATGTGAAGTACAAATCTGTAAATTTTCAGGGCATTTAGCTATGCCAAAAAAAAATGAAAAATCGCCAAAGATGGCGGTGTCAAAAACATGCTCGCGCACTCACTAAATTTAATTCTCTTTTTATCATGGTTACGTTCCGGACGTCCGGACCGAGTTCCAGACGGTCCGGAGTACAATGTCCGCGCGGACGTACAGTCCGGAGGGTCCGGAAGGTGCCAAAATTAGCCAAATCCAGACAATTTTTTTTTCAAAAACGGGCCGGCCTGGACCCTTGGTTGGGTCGAGGCCGACCCCAGAAAATTGGCCCAGGTATTTATTCGACCCGTTGGGCCTCTGCAGACATGGCCGGACGCGCGCCTCTTAGGTTTTAGAATTTTTTTTTTTTCGTTCACTGCAGTCTTGGTGTGGCCTCGATTTTGGGGGGAAACGAGGGCCTGTTCGAATCGAAAACCCTCCCGCCCGCCATTCAGCCGCTGGTACGCTGTCGAGACTCCCATCGCCTGCCATTCGCCCCGCTGGATGTTGACGTCGTCGTTGCAGCGCTTCCCCCATCGCCGTCGCCGTGGCTGCTCTGCACGTGGTCGCCGTCATCGAGCCAATGTCACCATCAAACACACACACACACACACACACACACAGAGAGGAGTCGTGGAGGAGGGAGGAGTTGTGGATGACACAGGAGACGCAGAGGAGGGAGGACGACGGCCGCTTAGAGGAGGGAGGATCTTGGAGACGAAGTAACGTCAAGAAGGACAAGGCGGAGAGGAGGCCAGCCATCGAGAGGAACATGACAAGTGACAGCAAGCCCCCTGTCACCCCCCTGTTCCTTACTTCCTGCCAGTTCTGTTTTTTTTTTTTTTTTTTTCTATTATGCAGTGTTCTGTTTTTGTTTGTTGAGCTGAGTTTGGATCGGTGAAAACACTGAAAAGTTCGGCACATTTACGGAAGAATGTCACCCCCCCTGGCAGGGTTTTTTTTTTTTTTTTTTTTTTTTTTTTCCCGGACCGTGTTTTTTTCCGGACCGTCCGCGTCCGCTATGTCCGGAAGGTCCGGATCATGTCCGGAAGGTCCGGATCATGTCCGGAATTCCAGACGTCCGGACCGGTCCGGACGTGCGTCCGGTTTCGGGTAATTCAAATTTGGTATTTGTTTTCCTTATTTTATTCTTATTTCAAATTTGGTA